CAGAGTCTCGCTTTGTTGCCCAGGCTAGAGTGAGTGCCATAGCGTCAGCCTAGCTCACAGCAACCTCAAACTCCTGGGCTCAAGCAATCCTCCTGCCTCAGCCTCCCGAGTAGCTGGGACTACAGGCATGCGCCACCATGCCCGGCTAATTTTATATATATATTAGTTGGCCAATTAATTCCTTTTATTTTTATAGTAGAGACAGGGTCTCGCTCAGGCTGGTTTTGAACTCCTGACCTTGAGCAATCCGCCAGCCTCGGCCTCCCAGAGTGCTAGGATTACAAGCGTGAGCCACCACGCCCGGCTAAATTACATTTTAAGTGCATAATTAATGAATTATCAAAGGAAGCTTAGTACAGATCTATTTTTATGAAGCAATTTTGACTTTTAAAAATATGACTTTTGGATATTATTTTTAGAACAAGGAACACTACTTGAATTATTGTTAACAGTTGTCAGTTGCTTTGCTGGAGTTAATCAGATTCCTTTTTGAGTCTGTTGTCAACCAAAACTAAGTGAAGAAGGCTAGTGAATGAAATCAGAAGGTGAAAGACAGTTTTAGTAAATGGTGAATGATGAATAGACATTGACTGTGTGATGATAATTGGTTTCTTTCTTAAGAATCTTAAAGAAGTAAGCACTTTAAACTGTTTAAATTGACCTTAGAAAATAAGAATATGATTGTGTTTTCTTGGTAGGAACCCATTATTTGTTTTTTCTTTTAGTTAGCGAATTTAAAAGAAAACTTGGCTGGTCTGAGTGTGGTGGGATTTACAACTAATTGATCACAATTAGTTACAGTTTCCTTTGTTCCTTCTCCACTCCCACTGCTTCACTTGACCAGCCATAAATGAATGAATGAAAGAAAACTTTTGAATAGAATTTCAATAATTAATTAGAAGACTGGCTGGGTGTGGTGGCTCACACCTGTAATCTTGGCACTTTGAGAGGCTGAGGCAGAAGGATCACTGGAGGCCAGGAGTTTGAGACCAGCCTGGGCAACATAGCAACATGCCCATCTCTCCAAAAAATCTAAAAATTAGACAGACATGATGGCATATGACTATAGTCCTAGCTACTTAGGGGGCTTAGGTGGGAGGATTGCTTGAGCCCAGGAATTAGAGGTACAGTGAGCTATGATTGTGCCACTGCACTCCAGCCTGGGTGACAGAGCAAAACCCATCTCTTAAAAAAACTAAAAAGGAAAATATTGGCAAAATAAATTTTACTCAGTTTTTTTTTTTTTTTTTTTTTTT